AGAGAGAGAGAGAGAGAGAGAGAGAGAGAGAGAGAGAGAGAGAGAGAGAGAGAGAGAGAGAGCCACAGGGTATCAGCGAGTGTTGCTGTGCGCCACGGCGTAGCCGTGGCGCGGTCCACTTGTTATTGTTATACAAAGAAAGTGTTCATGTCTCTTGCGGTCTCTCTGCCGTTCACACAGTCTCAGACTCGAACCAGGTATGTAACCGACCACCGCTTCTCTCTCTCTCTCTCTCTCTCTCTCTCTCTCTCTCTCTCTCTCTCTCTCTCTCTCTCTCTCTCTCTCTCTCTCTCTTCCTAACTTTCCTGCCATGGACCATGCTCTGTATACACCCGCTCAGTTAAGACTCAGACCTTGGCGGTTATGGTGGCCCTGCTTCCCTACAACTATCCTAGCTATGGTCGACGTCGGCGCTCCCTTCTCATTTGAGCGCAGCCTCGCCCAAGGCGGTTGGTCACACAGTCAGCAGCAGCAGCGCTTCCGCAACTTCTCGAATGCAGAACTGATGAGCCGCTCCACTGTAGCAGCTAAATATAGAACTTGTCGTGGCTCGGCCTGCTTCGGACTGGTACCGGTCAGCCGCGGCCTGTCTGCTGCAATCATTTTGTCGGTCCTGAAGATTCCCGGACTATCCTGGAACTTGCTGCAATTTTTGATTTTTCTGACCTGGGGACTGGACTTGGACGTTCTGGACTTTTTTTTCTGTGAGGTACCGGACTGACCGTACGACTCCTCGACTTTCCAGGCATTCCCGGATGCTGGGCCTACTTACACCTGTGACGACCCTACTGGCCTGTCGAGCCTACCCCACTAGACCCTCGGACTTGGGACATTGAAACTTCCAAAACTTGGAACTTGGGATTTGGTGTGTGCCGGACTTTCAGGTGTGTGCAGCGTGAAATGCTTTCACAAGTAAAGACAAACAGAAAAACAAAAGACAAACAAGCAAACAAGAAAGACAATCAAACAAAAGGCCGAGAGTTGGAGACTGAAGTGTTTTGTTGTTTGTCCTTTTGCTGTTCTGTGTGGTGAACCGGAAAAAAAAAAATTGAAAAAATGCACACAGGATGTGGAGAGAGCTTCGATTGCTCAGCGAACAAAAACCGGTCATTGCGTCGATGTCTGACGTGGCAGCCAGCGGTGGCTATTACATGGCAATGGGTACGAACGTGATAGTCGCCGAGAAATTGACGCTCACTGGATCGATTGGCGTTGTTAGTGGTATGTATGTTTTTTTTCTTAACAGATCTTCTCTTCCCTCTTCTCTCCCACCTTTACCCACCGTTTCACCGATTTCATATCTTTGTCTCTTCTTCTTCTTCTTCTTCTTCTTCTTCTTCTTCTTCTTCTTCTTCTTCTTCGTCTTCTTCTTCGTCTTCTTCTTCTTCTTCTTCTTCTTCTTCTTCTTCCACTTGCTCTTCTTCCACTTCCTCTTCCTCTTCCTCCTCTTCTTCTTCTTCCACTTCCTCTTCTTCTTCTTCCTCTTCCTCTTCTTCTTCTTCCTCTTCCTCCTCCTCCTCCTCCTCCTCCTCCTCCTCCTCCTCCTCCTCCAAAGAAACCAGGTGCCCTTGTATGGTCCTCTTTGGACTCCCACACCTATTGTCAGGAGACGGCCCTACTTACTCTCTTCTCCCGAATAACACGCCTGGTCATTATATAGCTGGCTCAATCTCCTTTTTAGGTTGCACTGGTGGTTTAAGGCCCAGTCAAGGGGAAAAAAAAAAACAAAAAAAAAAAAAACGTCTGGGAGACAAGCCTTGCCTTGTACAATTCAACTCTTTTTTTTTTTTTTTCAGCTCCTTTGCTGTTGTCTCCTATGGTTCTCGAATCTGGACCGGATGCTCTGTATTGCGCATCCGTATTTTCTGCATGCAGCATTGTTAATCAAGGGCCAATCCGGCGGCGATCGGAGAGCAGCCTTCAAGACGCGCCTTCGGCCCTCGCGTTCGTCGGCTCGCCAGAGTCATTTTAGAAGGATTCACTATGTTCGCTATGCGGACGACTTCCTGATTGGAGTCATCGGACCTAGAGCACTAGCCGATAGAATACGAAGTCTAGTGGCACGATTTATCGAAGTAAGGCTTAGCCTTCGGCCCTTCTTTTCAAAGACGCTCATAACTCGACGAGCTAAAGGCTCCCACGGGCCGGCTTTTCTCGGGTTTCTTATCAGCTCCTCCAGGCTCTCCCACTTCGTGGCCTTCGAATATCGACGAACATACAATGGGAAAAGTCGAATTGTACGCGTTCAACGAGCAGGTCACAATCTTTTTCAAATGTTCTTTTTTTTTAAAAATCACCCAACTCTGGTAAAAATTTGCCTGACCTTTTTTTTTTTTTTTTTTTCGTGCGACAATGGCTGACATTACCACTCACAGCAAATTTGCGTGAGGAAATTTTTCGATCGGACTGGCCATGCGGGCCTGCACCTTGGATCGAGAAGCAGGGGCGAAGTGCCGGCGGAGCACCGTCGTGCAAGGGTGTTCTCTTCATCGTAATTTTTCTTTCGCTCAGGGAAATTTTAACCCCAAGTCCAAGGTGGACCAAGCAAGCTTAACCCTAAAGGCCCTCAAGGCCCTAAACGCCGACCTACCCCCCAAGGAGGTTTAAGGTCGGTTTTACGGAACTTAACTTTTACGTTTACTTTTACGGTTTCACCCCAATGGCTCGGAGTTCCTAGATGGGTCGACCCAAACTACAAACCCTAACCCTTTGTTTTTTTTTTTTGTTTTTTTTTTTAACCCCAAACCGTAAACCTCAGTAAATGGTTAACCCCCATGCCGGGTTTTGTAGTATTCCCATCCTTCTTTTCTTTTTCCCCCTTAAAAATGTGGACCCTTTCGTGATTCATTTATGTGTGTCATCCTTGCGCAGGGCCCATTTGCCAATTTACCCTTCTCTGTATCGTTCCAAATTTAAGGGATGTGGTCCCGAAGGACCGCTCATGTCCATCCAATTTTTGAATGTAGTGTTTTTTTTTTTTTTTTTTGTCTCCTCCTGTTTTTTGGTTGAAGCACTAGTACCTCACGCCGGACTTGGGAAAATAAATGCCTAAACCCGATGACGGCTGCCATGGACAAATCTCATCGGCGGCCGGCGTTTCGTTTCGGCCTTCCTAAATGGCCGGACGCCCGCCCGAGGCCTGCTATTTTCCCTCTTGGCAAAGGGTTTTTTTTTTTTTTTTTTTTTTTTTTGAAAGGGCCCAGTGCCCAAGACTGATATTACCCTCTTGGAAAAGGTACTAGTGGTTTACGAGAAACCTCGTCGCGTGCGCGGTCCGCTGAATGAAGGGTCTCTCCTCCAGAATGGCCCACAAAAAAAAAAGAAAAAAAAAAAAAGGAGGGATCGATGTCTCTTTTGTCCACACATTGTTTCCGATATCTCAGAATGGCCAAAAAAAAAAAAACAAAAAAAAAAAAACAAGGGCAATCCAGTGGCTTTCATTCAAACTGACGCTCTACTCAATCTCTTCCTCGGTGTACTTGTCATGCGGCTCGGCTCCTCTCCTGGCCCCCTGCTTTTTTTTGGGTGGGGCGGAAACGGTGTGGTGCGGTGGGGTGGGGGGGGTTGGCGTGGGGGGGGTTGGGGGGAGAGGGCATTTGTGATACGTCTTATGTGGGAACCCAGCAAAGATCAACCTTGGTAATCTGTACAAGAAGATTGGATTTAATAAGGAGGTCATTTCCAGGGGTGGCCCTTTTGCCGAACTCGATGCAGATCAACGTTCCTTCAGGTACTCTCTCTCTCTCTCTCTCTCTCTCTCTCTCTCTCTCTCTCTCTCTCTCTCTCTCTCACACACACACACACACACACACACA